CCCCACACACACACACACCACCACTTTCTTTTTCCTTCTTGGCCTCAGGGCCCAAAGTATTCTGGACATATTTTTCATTTTTCCAAATATCAATTGCTCTTTTATTCCCTCTTCGAAGCAGTGAGTAATAAGAGTTGTGTCTGGTCCTGAAATTCCGACTGAAATAAATTAGCCCAATGACCAACAGGAGGTGCCTAGAACAATAACGGCGGAATATTTGGCATATTACAAAAGGGCCCCTGGACGTCGAAGTACAGTAAGTCTAGAAGCACATTACGAGGGACGGTGCCAAAACGAGCCTGCAATGAGCCATCCAGGCAGCAGGACGCCTCATAAATTAATCCCGTTTTTCCCCCCTTTTCGCTCCACTGTTCACAGTCCTCTGAGCCCTCTGGTTAATGGGGCATGGAGCAGGGTATTTTTGGTGTGGCTCTCGCCCCCGGCGGCTGGCACATGCCAAGGCCGTGCGTAAATACCTCCCAGGGGCAACCTGTGGCAGTCACAGCGGGGGAGGCAGCCAGCTGTGAACAAACACTGAGCACCTACTAAGTGCCAGGCCTGGTGCTGAGTGGTGGAAATGCCACAGAGGAGGACAGGGCAATTATCCCTGTCCTGTCCTCACAGCGCTGACAGCTCAACACCGCCCCCCCCCCCCCGCCGTCCACTGGAGCTGGGCCTCCGTCTCTGGGGTCAGCAAGCAGTAGGTGGGTTGACCTGCACCTCATGTCCCTCTCTCCCTGGCAGGAGTCACCTCTGATGGGAGCCTGGGCGGGCGGGGAGGGGGGGGGGACAGGGGGGTGGCACCGGCCTGCCCGTGAATGGCACTTTCTGTGGCAGAAGAGGACCGTGCAGGAGGCATCAGATTCAGAATCCTGAGAGGAGGTGAGGCTATCATCCCCGATTATCTGGGTACGCCCCAAGGCAATCCACGTACCCCTACTAGGAGGCAGATTTCACACCCACAGAGGAGAAGGCCATGTGACCATGGAGGCAGCGACTGGCGTGATGCGGGCCCGAGCTAGGGGACGCTGGTTCGGACAAGGCACGGGTCCCCCCCGAGCCTCAGGGGGAGGGTGGCGGGCTGCCATCCTGATTTCAGCCCCGAGACACTGACTTTGGACTCCTGGTCTCCGGAACTGTGAGGAAATGCACTTCTGTTGTTCGAAGCCTCCCCATTTGTGACAGCTTCTTACGGAAGCCCTAGGTAACTAACGCAGGCACTGAGACTCAGGGTTTCTCCATGGTGCTGGGATCCACCCACCAGCGCTTACATCTGCCCTGTGTCCGGCTCTGGGTTCGGACCGTCCCCATGACCCGACTGGGCCTGCAGTTCCTGCACCTGTTTCTCTCCCTGGACCTTCGGCCGACCCGGGATCCCCCTCTGGACGCCCCTCCAGATTCTGCCTTTTCTGATTCTAGTTAGCCGCGGGGGCTTCTGCAGCCGCCCCTTACAGGCAAGAACCCCCACGTGGCAGGACTGTCACGAGGCATGTGGACAAACCGTATTTGGACCCGACAGACACACGACAAATCGGAGCTCACGAACCAATGGCCTGCATTTTGCCCACATGGTGCATTTTCGTTTTTCTAAACTTGAATCTTCCCCCAACATTTACAACTCAGGAGACTGCACACCCAAGACGGACATCCTAGCTTTTCTCAACAAAAATCAGGAGATGCCGCAACGCTGGACCCCCCAGCTTCCTGGCCACAGCGGGCTGGCCCCTGCAGACCAGCATGTAATGATCTGCCCCCACCAGCCCTCTCGTCTCACCGAGTGCGGCGCCACCGGGCTGCTGAGTCTCACCCCTGGGGGCAAATGCAAGGCTCTCTTCCACCAGACTAAAGCCTGGGCACTGGCAGGAGGTGGGGGCCACCTGAACATTGCAGACCCTCCCCCGGCCCGCTGCCCACATGTTTCGGGGCTTGTGTTGTGAGGGCCAGGCAGGGCCACCCTGCCCCCCTTTCCTCTCTTCCCTGTCCTGAGGCTGAACCCCCAGAAAATGGCCCTCGGAGTGAATCGCAGAAGCTCCCCTACCCATCAGTACCCTTTGGAGCAGGTTCCTGGAGGAACCCATTGGATTTCCCCCAAAATGTTTCTGGTCGTCTTCTCTTTACATGACTGACGCGACGGAAACCCAGTGCTCCTTCTAGGCCCGTGACTAGTGTGAGGGGCAGTCCTAAAGTGTCCACCTGCAGCCGACATTTGACATGTTTCGGCCACAGAAAGCCCGAGGCCAGTAGCGTGCACGAGACCACGGGGACGAGGCAGGCGGTCGTTTGAAGAGCCTGGGGTGGGACCGAGAGATGAGCCCTGGCCACGTCCCACGGACTTGGGCAGCCCCCTTCTTTCCCTGGCCTTGGGTTTTCCCGTGCAAAAGGTGGACGCCGCGTAGCAGGCCAGAGTCTGGGTGCTGGAATCCGACCCGGCAGAGTTCAGATCTCAGCCCTGACTCTCACCAGCGGCATGACTTTGGGGGAGTGACTGAACTACCGTGAATGACCTTGAGTCTCCTCATCTATAATGCAGGAATGCTAATATCCTTTACAACCCAGAGTTGCAATAATACAATGAGGCAATACATATAAAGCTCTTCACATAGTGCTGGGTACTCAGTCATTTCTTGAAATATCTTAGCCGTGGACGACGATAACATTAAGGATATGCAGGAGGAGGGGGAGGAGGGGGAGGAGAAGGGGTGAAGGTTGTGTGAACCCCCTGGGTGCCGAACTGGGGTAGCCATGGAGCTGGAGAGGGAGGGGGGGCTGTAGCGACCTATCAAAATGTCCCCTGAGCCTCTCACGTCTCTTTACCTGTGATAAAGCCACCACAGATAACAAGAATGGCGGCTTCCTCTGCTTTTGGCTGAAACTGCATTAACTCCTCAGGGTAAACGAAAGACTTCAGAGTTCAACGAGCGTGCACCCAGACCCCTGGGAGGGTGTCTGACCTTGAACAAAGCGAGTGGCGTTCAGACGGAGAGGCCAGCCTTGCAGGGCCGAGGGGAGGGTTAAGTGAGAGGAGGCGTGGGCAGCGGGCAGCATGGGCTCTGGGGCAGGACACGGGGCCACGGTGGCTCGGCCTTCCTGGGCCTCAGCTTCTTCCCCGGTGAAGTGAAGACCACACCGCCTGCTTTACTCATTCAGCAAACAGTTCCTGAGCCGAGGACTGTGCATACGGAAGTGTGTTTACCAGGCTGAGTTCATGGCCTCTCAGAACCCATGGTTTGAAGTTGCTTATTATCCATCCATTCAACAAACGTTTTCACTGAACATTCAGAATGGAACGGGCTGCCTCACAGGCATGAGAGAGATAATGGAGAGCCACACGAGTTCAATCCCCAACTACCTGTTCCTGGTGCAGGGATCCACCCAGAGATCAGTGACACGGGGCAGGGTCCTCACCAATACGCTCGATTTGACAGAGGTGCAAAGGCAAATTGAAGGGGGAAGGCCAGAGTCCCCAGCAAATGGTGCTGGAACAATGGATCTACAGGCCCCAAAAGACCCTTGGTCCAAACCCCACAGCTTCTACAAAAGTTAACTCCAAACGGAACAGAGACTGGCCTGTAAAGCATTATACTACAATACTTTTTTAAAATAGGAGAAAAATCTGCCCTAACCGGTGAGGCTCAGTTGGTTGGGGATCACCCTGCAAAGCAAAAGGTCGCTGGTTCGATTCCCAGTCAGAGCACGTGCCTGGGTTGTGGGTTTAGCCCCCAGGCGGGGCACATACAAGAGGCAACTGAGCAATGTTTCTCTCTTACATCAGTGCTTTTGTTCATGTCTTTCTCCTGCCCTTCCCCTTCGCTAAAACTAACTAACTAACTAAATAAATAAATAAATAGAAATTTTTAATGTCTAAAATAAAAACATCATGAAAACACCAAGTGCTGCTGAGGATGAGGAGAAACCAAATCACTCACAGGCTGCTGACGGGCACAAAAAACAGCACAGCCATTTCAAAAAACCAGTTTGACAGCTTCTCCCCAAACTACCGTGTGATGACCACAGCGCCCGGCCACCGCCCTCCGAGGCCTCCCGGGGAATCGGGAACTTGGGATCACACAGGGTCCCGTCCAAGAATGTCGGAACCAGCTGTACTTGTGAGAGCCCAGGTCCGGACCGGCCAGCCAGCTGTCCTTCAGTGGGTGAGGCGTCAGACAAACTGTGGTGCGTGCAGGCGAGGAATACTACACAGCAACGAAGAGGAGCGCACCACGGGTGCGGTGCTGGTCTGCTCAGAGCCCCAGGGGGTTCTCAGGACCAGAGAGCCGTCTCCAAAGGTCACACTATTTGAGTCCATTGATAGAACATTTTTGAAAAGAGAAAAGTTCAGACATGGAGAACAGATTAGTGGTTTCCAGGCATAAGGCACAATGGGGAAAGGGGACGGTGGGGGGGGGGGCGTTAAGGGGCCACACAAGGACCTCTGGCTTTGGACTTCTGTATCCTGAAGGGAGCAGTGAATACACAGACCTACCTATGGGATGAAATTACTTGGAATTAAACACACACACACACACACACACACACGTACAACGGGCTGAACAAACCGATAGATTGTATCAGTGACAACAGCCTGGCTGTGATGTTGTACCCTCACCAATATGCTGATGCTACACAGGGTCTCCTACGAGTTTTTCTTACCACCGACACGAATCTAGAGTTGTATCAACAAATATTTCCATTAAAAGTAGCTTTCACTGTTTTCTATCTAAAAAACTCACATTTTACTAAAAGCTTGAAAAATGTAGGGAACTAAGATCAGAAACATGGTCCCCCTGAAACATAATCTTCTGATGCATTTTTTTTCCAGGTGTGTGTTTGCATCTGCATGAAAAAAATGTGCCGGGCGGGGCTGAAACTCCGGGTGGTGACGAGGCAGGGACCTCACTGTGCCCCACCTTCTGTGACATCATCACTCATTGCTGGAGCGATGCCTGGTGACCAGAAGATGGGAGGGGTTTCCCATCTGCCTGTCAGGTGGGGACATCTTGCTCTACTCCTGGCACCTGACCTGAGGCCATGGCGCCCCAGCAGGTGGGGAGCTGGGGCCGAGTGGCAGCCGAGCCGTTTGAACCAAGGGGCGGTCGCTGTGAGGACAAGAAGCAGGTGAGGAGCGGCCAGACCAGTGCAGCCAGCTTTCCTCCCACCCCTCAAAGTCAGGATCAGGCTGTCCACTCGCCTCGCCCCGGGGCCTCACCCGGTGGAACGGCACTGCCCGCAGAGGGCGTGCCTGGGAGGGCTACGGTTTTGTTTAGTGTCCTGCTATATCCCTCCTGCCCAGAAGGGTGCGTACGTGCTGAATGAAGGAAGGAACGAACTGCAATGAACAGGATAGTAAGTATGCCCTGGTCAGAGAGCTCTTGGAGCATTTGTCCTTAGGACCGAAAGTCAAGCCTCCCCTGGGATTTTTGTCACACGGAAAACCACTGCCACTCACTGTTCCCAGCCTGGCGCTTCCACCCCCTGCCTCTCCCATGAGGGTTTAATATGCCATTCCTGAGAGGCAGCTGCTGTGGGCCTCATTCACAGATGGGTAAACTGAGGTTCAGAAAGGCAAAAAGGTCACATAGAAAGTGTGTGCAGGGATCTGAAACCTGGTCCAGCTGATAGCAGAGCCCTTAGCAGGATTACCCTGCCCGCCACCGCCCCCCTGGGGGAGGAGGGAGGGAGGGAGGGAGGGAAGGAGGCTGGAGGGTCAGCGGGGCCTCCCGCACTGGGAGAGGGATGGGGTTTCGTTCTGAGCTTAATCAGAAAGCACTGAAAGGTCTTAAGCAGAGCGATGGATGACTGATCTACAAACATTTTCAAAAGATTCGTGCATTTGTTCCGGTACTACACACGTGTCCATATCTCCTTCATGCTGGACCTCCCAGCAAGACGGGGGCCAGAGGGGCTCCCTCACACCGCCCAAGGCTTTTCCTAAAAAGCGTCTGCAAATGCCAAACCCTAGGAAGCTCCTTTTAGAAAAAGCGTTTGAGTAGTTCTGCAGAGTGCTGACGCCCCCGTCCCCACATGGGGAGGCACACGGCTCATTCAGGCAGCAAAGGCCCCCAGGAGACCTTTGGCACAGGCACTCACCCAATTTCATGGATCCAAGCTCCACCCCACCTTTCCAAAAAAACCAAAAAAAACCCTATTTCAAAATCCATTTTGCACATGAAGAAACTGAGGCTCCAAGAGAAGCAGTGATTTGGCTCAGGCCCAAGATGGTGCAAAGAGAAAGATGAAAACTTCATTTTAGACCCTAAGCTTCACTGCCTTCCCCCAGGCCCCCGCTTTGCCTCCAAAGAATATAAATTAGGAGCCGAGCAGCAAGCGGGCTGGTGGGGAAAAACCAACCTGTAAAGCATGTGGCCAGAGGCGTGGTTAGAGAGAGGGAGGAGCATTCAGACTCCCATCAGCCATTATGAAGAACAGGACAGTTCCGTGTGTCTTACAGGAAAAGGTCCCCAGGGAACATGGTGGCGGAAATAAAAAGCACCCTAATCTTTAGTGTGCCGGGCAATGCCTATCACATTGGCTGCACGCACCCGGGCCGCCACCACCCAGATCCAGCTATGGAACATTCTAGTGCCCTGGATGGCTCCCTCAGGCACCCCACCCATAACCACGCTTCTGATTTCTATCACCGCAGACGAGTCGTGGACGTTCTAGAATTTCATGGGGATGAAATGCATGTGCACCTGAGGGTCTCGCTTCTTTCACTCACTTGTGTGTCTGCAACAAGACTCAGCTGGATTGTAGGCAGCGTGGTGTGTTTTTATTTTTGAAATTACTAATAAGAACGTAGCTGCTAGCCCGTATAGAGAAGACTATCTGGAGGAGAGACAAGTTATGCTGATCTTTTATCTTCTTTGTTATGGCAGCAGGGCTAAGTCTTTCTGCAAAAATGCAGCCTCATAAGAAATGTATGCTTTCGAGTTCGGTTAAATCTGGCTCCACCCGCATCTATGGAGTCTGGGAGAATTCAGTGTCCGTCAGCACGGTGTCTGCCTTGCCCCTGACACCGTCACTGTCCCCCGTCAACAGCATGGTCTGTTGAAAGCTGGTGTGTCTGAATTCCCTGTGCTGGCTGGGGGTAAGGAGAGAGCTGACTGACTGCAAAAAGGCATGAGGGAACTTTCTAGAATAATGGAAATGTTCTACATCTTGATTGCGGTGGGAGTCCACAGGTATGGACATTTGTCAAAACTCACTGAACTGCCGTGGCTGGTGTGGCTCAGTGGATTGAGTGCTGGTCTGTGGACCAGAGTTTTTGGTTTGAGTCCCAGTCAGGGTACATACCTGGGTTGTGGGCCAGGTCCCCAATAGGGAGTGTGTGAAAAGCAACCACATACTGATGTTTCTCTCTCTCTCTTTCTCCATCCCTTCTCCTCTCTAAAAATAAATAAATAAAATCATTTAAAAAAGACTGATTGAATTGTGCATTTAAAATGCATGCCTTTGCATGCAAAATACACCACAGAGAAGCTGATTTCTTTTAAAGATCCTTCAACACAAAGGATGTAAAAGTGAGGCAAGGAGTGAGAACAGAGGTGGGCCTTCCTTTTTGAGAGGGAGAAGAGAGGAAAACTCCAATGAAATGCCAGTGGGCTGCCATGGTCTCTATTTCTGCAGGCTTTGAGGGCTCATGGGTAAGCAAGTGACTTGGAGAACTGGAGAGAAGTTCATCTCTAAGCACAACCTTATCGCTGCCCCCTGCCCAGAGAAGCAGACGCCCAGGAGCCCTCCAGCAATTATCCCCCCTCCCCCTCCTCTCGCCCCCAGACCCTGTTGGCGCTGCTGATCTTGGTGCTATACATGGGTGCGGGGATATCAGGTGAGCTTTCCAGGACCAGAAGAGGAGTAGCCGGGATCACACAGAGTCAGGAGGGCACCTGGGGGGGCTGCACGCCAAGGCGGTCCCCGGGTTTGCTCTCTCCCACTGCCCTTCGTCCCACTGGGGTGGCCACCCATGTCAACTGCTGTCCGTGCCCCCTTGTTAAAAAGTGTCTTTGTGCCATTTCAGGAAGAAGTTGGGAGGTGTCAGAAAGGATCAGAGAGTGTAGCTGCCCCCCAAATCCTGTGGCTTCCCAGGTAACATAGGGATGCTGAAGGGATGTCAAGCATGGTTGAGAAAACCTGGGAAGGCTTCCTGGAGGCATCGCTAGCAAGCTGGGTCTTGAAGGATATGTAGGAGCTGGGGGAGCGTATTCCAAGCAGAAGGAGTAGCGTGTGCAAAGGCTCGGGGAACTTTCGGAAACTGGTGGCCAAGGCGTCCCATGTGAAAACGCTCAAGATGTAACTTCAGTGTCTGCCTTTCAGGGGTTCGAATGCCAGACCAGTGGTCCCACGAAAGAGCCGATAAGGGTCCTCAGGACCTGGTTGAAGGAGAGTGTGCAAGTATTCCTGGAAAAGCTCGAGACTGAGGTGTGCAAGCTGGAGCAGCTGGTACGGGACCTGGAGGAGTGGCTAGATCTCCTCCTGGGGGAGGGGCAGCCCCAGGGGCCCTGCTGCACCCACAGGAATCACTTGTAAGGGGCCAGGGCTGGGACCTGGGGAGAGGCCACGGACACGGGGGAAAGGCTCGCAAGGGGCTCCTCCAAATAGGGCAAAGCCCTGACACTTGAAGTTCAAGGCAGGCAAAAAAATAAAAGTCGGGACACTGAGAATACGGTCGGTGGCACTGCTGGTTCCTGAACACTAGAACGTGCCAGGAAGACACCAGGGCCCGGCCAGGACGTCCTTCAGAATACAGGGCACTGGCCCCACGGGCATCGATGTGGACTCAGGGTCAGGAGCCTCCCCCACCACTGCCCCGAGATGCTGTGCAAAATCCCTACCTTCTCAAGCAAACTGCCTGTTTGTAAGGAACCAACTCTGCCTCACAGAGTCCCAGTGAGGGTCACACATGTGCAGTAGTATGTCCGCAGGTACACAGAGCAGGCACCTAACAGTATATATGTGCTTATCTTTGACGTCTATGCGATTACATACACATGTTCTAGATTACACATAAAACACAGCTAGAGATATTTTTAGTGAAGGTACATGCATATAAAAAGAAATGCAAGCCCAGACCCTCAAAGAATAAAGCCACCCCTGGGGACGTTAGCAGAGCCCCCGAGCGGAGAAGCAAAAGCTCTGAAAGCTCTTGGACACGCCCCATGCCCCCCACGAGGCCTCACAGGGACACCATGCTGGTGGGGGCCCCCGCCCACAGGTGCTGGTGGCTTTGGTTTCATTGCTTCGTGAGCCCGTAAGCGCAGCCAGCTGCCCCGGGGGGCTCAGGGTGACAGGGTTCATCACGGCGCAGCAAGGGAGCCAGAATCCCACAAAAATGGGGGGGATCTGACCTGGGATGGTGGAGACTGGAACGGGAAGGCCCCTGAGAGCCCCAGACCCCCAATACCGGGTGCTCCAGGAGGCCTCGCTGCCAGAACCCAGGAGCTGCCCCCTGGAGCCCCCCTTTACCTTGACTGGGCCATTCTCTGGCCTCTGCTTCCCAGCGTCTTCCTTGCCCTCCACTCTGTACCGCCCTTCCTCAGCTTAGCACTTCTGCTTCTGAATCCTCAGGACCCTGATTGGCTCCTGGTCCTCCAAGGCCACCTGCCTTTCTCACGACCTTCCAACTTCTACGGACCATGTGACTCTGTCCCCAGGCCAAACTGTGGGGAGTGGGTGGGATGGGATGGGCCCACCTCATTGACTGGAGCTTCCTGACCCTGCTCTGTGTGAGCCAGCTTTGGGAGGGGGTGACCTTGAAGGGTGGCCACTCCTGATCCAATCAGCTGCGGCAGGAGGGCGTGGGGAAGAAGGGGCTACCACACACTAGAAACTGCCTGGCCCACTTCCTGACAATGAGCTGATTTGTGCTCCCTAAGGTCAGAAACGTGGAAAGTAGCAAGAGAGTGAGGGCAGCCCTTGCACCTGGGGGGGCCCAAGAGTCAATGTCACAGAAGGAGAATTGTGGGAGACAAACATGTGAAGGCTGAACACAACCGCTGAGGGTGAGGTGGGCGAGGATTGGCCACCAGCGTCCCCGCAGGGCCAGCCTCACTGCACTACCGCGCGCTCTGCCTTCACTTCCCGGGTGTGAAAAGTCCAAAAGCCACCCTTAATAAGAAGAGCCTGACTACGTTTTAGAACTCCGAAGTCAGTGATCTTCTGAATGAGTTAAAGAAAATGTTGCCCATTGACCTATTCTGGGGTCCACTTTCCAAAAACTGCAGAGAGGTGAAGGATGGGCGGATGGGTGCCGCGGCCCAGCCCAAACCCGGGCTCAGGGAAGATCTGGAACCGGATTTCCCAAAGGTCTTTGTGAGGATCAGGTTTAAAACAACAACAAAAAAACCCAAAACAACAAAAAAAAAAACCCTTGAGAAGCAGGGATTTGGACTCCGCTGCAATTACTTCAAGACCGGAAAGGTCCATTTCCAGTCTGCATGTCATATTTTCAATGATGTCAAATAAAAATATGGGTTTCATTTGTTCCTTTAATCCACAAATTTGTTCAACAAAAATTGTGAAACGCACTAAATCCAATTTGGTTTGAATTGGCTGTCAGAAGGATAATTGAGGGTAGGGACGGATGGAGCCAAAGAAGTCGCCTTTCCAGATCCCTTCCCCTCCACGTGACATTTCCAAGAGGAAATGCATCCTGGCCTGAGGGCAGAGGGAGGGAGAGAGGACCAGAGCTTTGTCCAAACACGGTGACAGTCTTCTTAACAGAGGGAGGCCTGAGCAGAAAGGACCTGAGTCACCTGCCCGCTTCGGCGAAATCACTTCGCCCCTCTGTGCCTCCGTGTCCCCCTCTGTCATAAGGGGCTGTGACCCTGTCCTTTGGGCTGCTGTGGGGACAGTAATCGGATGTTATGATGGGAAAACTAGTGCACACTTACAAGAGCGAGATGAATAGAACAGCCCAGGTAGATCTAGACCGACTCAGGCCCAGTTAAATCCAGGGGGTATCAGGCCGTGCCTCACCCTCAATACTTCTCAGATCTGCTTGGGTCCAGGCTGGCCCCATTCTCAGGCAGGCTGTCCCCACTGTGGTGGCAAGATGGCTTCGGGACCTCCAAGCTAGATCGTATGCTCTCAGCCTCCCCAGAGGAAGGGCAGAGCCCCTTCCCTGATCCGAGGCCTTGGGGGAGCCTGCTGGCTCTCCGATCAGATCACACGTCCATTTCCGAGCCAATGCTCGCAGCTGAAGGGACGCAGCCCATGCAGGAACGCTTGCCCGCCAGGTCCTCGGCCAGGGCTACGTCGAAACACAAGCCGAGTGGCAGTGGTTGTCCCGAGGGAAGCCAGGGTACTGTTACCAGAACAGGGCGAACAGGCGCTAGGAAAAAAAGTTCAGTACTTTTTAAAAAATATTTTATTTATTTTTTTAGAGAGGGGGGAAGGGGGAAAGAGAGAAACATTGATCAGTTACCTCTCATGTGCCCCCGTCTGGGGATCTGGCCCCCAAATGTGGACATGTGCCCTGCCTGGGAATCTAACCAGCGACCTTTTAGTTTGTGACCGATGCTCACCTTTTGGTTTGTGGCCAGTGCTCAACCCACTGAGCCACACCAGCCGGGGCGCAGTGCTGTGTTAAAGCATCAGTAGCTACAACCCTCTAGAATGCCCTTCTACTCTGGCAGGGGACAAAGAACCTTCCCTGCTGTCCCACCTCATGCAGATCTCAGCTCATTCAGACAAGGAAAGTCATCTTCTCTAACACCCCGGTGCACCGCCAGCTGCAGCAGAATTCACACACCTCCCCCGTCCCCCGTGAGTGCAGGCAGAGTGCACGTCCGTGGAGGTGACATGAAGGGGAGCTGCAAGGACAGGCCTTTGGGGTCAAACAGACCTAGTCCACGCCCTGCCTCCCCACCCCCGAGTCTCCGCTGTGACCTCAGACAGGTCACTCCTTGCTTCTCTGAGCCCCCGTCTGCGGGTCATAAACCAGGGCATGTCTACACATCTCCAGGGCCCTATTGGGAGGATTAAGTAATAACAGCCAACTTTTATTTAGTGTTTACTATGCTCCAGGCACGGTTCTGAGTGTTTTACGAGCCTGGCCTCCTTTTTTTAATCATCGCAACACATCCATACGTCAGGGACTGTCCGCGTCTTTGTGCACATGGGAGGGCACTGGGACACCGGAGCACGAGTGTTCCGGGGTCACACACTCCCCGGGCCGAGCCAGGACACACTCAACAGGTAAAGTCTGGGGCCACACGCCGAAGCCCCACCCTGTGCTCCTTCCACATCAAGTGAGCTAATGCACACGCAAGCGCTATATAAACTGTACTACTTTCTATAAATGTCACTCGCTGTTACTTCTATCCTCCTACCCTGGTCATTAGGGCCACGAGGGACTTAAGGAATCTACCTTTCAGAGAGTTTTCTCCCAGCGCCAGACTCGCCCCGTGGGGGCACTCCCTCCCAGCCCACCTTTGCCTTGAGGCTACACTTAGAGCCCCATTGCTTTCGGCCCGCAACCGCTCCCAGCAAAGCTGCGTCTTGCGCACGCGCACTCATCCACTCTGCGGCTCTCATCCGACTCAGCGGCGCATCTGACCCGGTGGCTCATCCAACCCCGCGGGTGGGCTTGGGCCACAGTGGTGACTGCAACTATTATGGAGATCAGAACACCGTCTTTGACCGCGGGGAGCTCCCAGTGTGGTGAGAACCTGGGGAGGAGGTTCATCCTGTGCACAGAGCACAGTGTGCGTCACCAGGGCGCAGTGTCAGAGCCTGGTCACCAGGATGAAGGTGAGACGCCCGGGAGGGATCGCACAGGGAGGGTGGGCCACCCAGTGCAGTCCAAGCCGACCACTCACTACTGTCACAAAATGAATTCTCTGCCTTGCCCACGTGTTGAAATTCTCAAACTGTACATTTTAAATCTATTTCACTGTATATATGTTATACTTCAATAACAATAGAATTAGTGCCCGGCCTGCAAACCCAAGGGCCGGCGGTTGGATTCCCAGTTAGGGCAGGTGCCTGGATTGCAGGCCAGAACCCCAGTCAGGGGTGTGGGTGAGGCAACCACACACTGATGTTTCTCTCCCTCTCTTTCTCCCTCCCTCCCCCATCTCTAAAAATAAATAAAAATTTTTTAAAAAATAGCTGCTTTTAAAACGGCTCCTCTAAAAAAAAAAAAAAACAGTAGAATTATACACCAACATCGTGATGAAACAATTTCACTCCTAGATGTTTATCCCAGGAAAAAAGCACATACCCACACAAAGTCTTGTAAGCAAGTATTCATTGCAACTTATAATAGCCAAAAACTGGACATGGACTAAACAGTCCAATTAAAACAGAGGATAATCTGGGTTTTAGAAAATGCATGTTGTTTACGAGAGACATAACAATGCAGAAAGGTTAAAAGTAAAGAGATGGGAATACTTATCCACAAAAACACCCCAAAATACATACCTTGAAAAGCAGGTATATGTCTAACACAGACCCAACAGACATTAAGATCAGTAGGTTAGACATGAAGAGTGGCATCTGATAATTATACAGTGGTCAATTCGACAGGAATACATAAGAGCGCGAAATTCAAATTAGCTTCACATGAAGTCTCAAACGCTGTAAGAACTACAAACAGCAAAAACCAATTCCTTAATCATAGTGGAATCTTTTGAAACACATCTGTCATTAACTGATAATACCAACAGGTACAAAAATTAATAAGGACACGCAAAGATTTAAATGACAGGAACGACAAACTTTGTCACACCACCCAAACCTATAGAAGTCGCCTGATGTATAGCAAAGGGACCACTGCAGTGAAGTGGGGGCAGGACTGTCTCATCAATAAGTGACGCCATGTCGACCGCACAACCGTAGGGAAAAAGCGGATGCTGGCTCTTACCCTGAATACCATGCTCAAAACCCTATTTCAGGTGAATCAGAGACCTACAGGTGAAAATAAGATAATAAGGCTTCTAGAATAAAACAAAGGAGCACACTTTTTAAAAAAAAGATTCTATTTATGTATTTTAGAGAGCGGGGAGGGAGGGAGAAACATCAGTGAGTGGTTGCCTCTTGTGTACCTCCCACTGGGGACCTGGCCTGCAACCCAGGCATGTGCCCTGACTGGGAATCGAACCAGTGCCCCTTTGACTCACAGGCTCACTCAGTCCACTGAGCTACGCCAGCCAGGGCTGGAGAACACCTTTATGGCCATGGACAGACAGAGATTGCTTAAACAAAACACGGAGAATGCTAAACATACAGGAAATGAGCAGTAAATTAGACTATTTCAAAACAAGAATTACCGTTTATCCAAAGGCACCATTAGGAGAGTAAAAAGGCAAACAGAGTGGGTGGGATATTTGCAGTATATGTTGTTTTACAAAGAACCTTCATACTGTGTAATACTAAAAGAACTCCTACTGATCAGTAAGAAAAAGACACATACATATACCCCTCCCCTGCAAAAACGGGCAAAATCTTCAACAGGCACTTCACAAAAGGACATCATTAAATGACAATTAGTTACCTATGAAAGCCTAATTAAAACCACAATGCGACATTATCGCTTGGAGGTGATATCAGAAACTCCACTTTTTAAAAAAGAACTAACACCAAGGATATAGAACAACTGGCAGTGCTCATAGACTTCCATGGAGTGTAAATTGGTACAATTTCCTGACCAGTGTGGCTCAGTTGGTTGGGCGTCATCTTGCAAAGCAAAAGGTCTCCAGGTTGGGGCACAA